AGGGTTTAGGGTTTAATAGGGGTTTAGGTGTTCAGGGTTTGGGGGTTTTCGAGTTTATGGTTCAAGGGTTTAGGGTTAAGGATCTCTGCATGCTGCCAGAAAGCCACTAAGGGTGTCGGGTTTTGGGCCAAAGCATTGCCTGAATCCCAGCAAGCTTACCTGTTGACGGACTCATGGGGTTCAGTCCCTCGCCGGCGAATTCGGAGGTAGCCATCCCGACATAAGGCCGAATACGAGGGGCCGAGGCGGGGGTGAGGACGGGAGAGGGGTTTAGGGGTTTAGGGCTTGGGGTTTAGGGGGTGGGGTGAATGATTCTGCCGCAGAGAATAATTATCAATACCATTTTGGAGGTTCCGATTACAATTGTAGCATATAATCTACCCCCAGACCCTATTCTAATTCTGAAGGCCTCGACATTACGCCAAAATTATGCTTCCTGGCTGGCCCCTGGCGTCCCCCGGGCCTAAAAGGGCGCCTCCAAACGCCTGTCCAGCCAGAAAAACCTGGTTTAGGGTTTAGGATTTAGTTGGGTTTGATTTAAGAACCATCAAAGAGCATATGTGTGATTGTACAGGTGTGTTATATTCTTTGCGACTTTTGCAGCAGAGTCGATGCATTGGAGGCGGCCATGGGAAAGTGAAGGGAGGATCCACTCCAAAAGACTTGCCGCCACTTCGTTCGAGGGGCCTGAGGAGGATTTCCGCAGGCCGAACAAACCCTAAACCCAGAACCCTAAACCCTCAAGCCTGAACCCTGAATCCTCATCCCTACACCCTCAACCCTAAACCCGTATACAGTTAGCAATGACCATTTCCATTTTCTAATCATGCACCCCCCCTTTTCACCCCATTTCACACAATCATAACTGTAGATTATACACGTGTAAAGTATCGTCCCCTTGTGCGTACCTGTTGGACGACTGCTGCTATTAGTGCTCTGGTAGACAAAAGGAACCTTTGCTTTGTGCCATGGTATAAGACGTCTACTACCACTTAACGGTATTACCTCAG